GGGCATGTTAGCCCTAAAACTCAAGAAATAAAAGAAATGATAAAAGAAACTAAACCCTTGATTCCTTATTGATTGTGTAAAAAAAAATCATAATAAGTTTACAAACTTTTGGGAAAACCTTATAGGAATTCAAAGCAAGTACAAGTTGGAGTCATTGACCTTCATATAAAAAACAGCAGGTAAAACGGCCAACTCTTTTCCAAAATTTAACAGTTTTTAGATGCTTGTTAACAAGCTTGTTTAGTTGCTGAAGGAAGTTTGGTTTTCTGGAAGAGCAAAAATCCTGGGGACATCGCAGAATAGGTTTCCCTGATGGGCTAGGCCTAGTTGGCATTAAGGGGAAAACTTGAGAATTTTCCTGTTCTCTCGCCAAAGGGAAACAAACAAGGAAAACAATGGCGGTGAACGTTTTGGAGTCAATTCCAAACAATTTGATGTCTTTATTGAATGTCCAAACAGCTCGGGTTGAGCTATCTTTAGCCCTTTCTCTCTCCTTCTCTATAATCCGTCTCAAGAATTCGTTTCGTTGAAGTTATCAACTCTTTTGTGTGACCCCTACCAAATTAATAATACAAAATTCCATCTCGTTATCTGAATAGATTGTAAATCTCCATATACGTGTATATATATTATATATTCTTTAAATATAAAAATTACTGTAGATCTCTTCAAGTACATATTTGGTTGAATGATATGCCGAGACTTCAAATTAAATTTAATAAATTTGTGAACTATTGTGCTATATATAGAAGACTGCCTACATCTATGGGATAGTAAGCATAATAATTATTATTTTTTAAAGCTAATCATATTTAATGGTAATAATGAAATTTATCTACAGTAAAACTTAATTAAGACTTTTAGGTAAATTGGAGGAAGAGAAATTTCTTATACATGGATTTACCACGAAGTCTCTGCAAATAAAAAAAAAAAAGTAAAAGTAAATCACACTCAAAAATTAATATTGAAATGTATATACGAGAAAACTTAGTTAAGACAATTTAGCTCATAAACAGATTTGTATGGGTAAAAATCCGAGAAAAAAAAAGATACCAAATAAATAAAATAATAATAATAATAATAAAAACACTGTATTTACTTATGATACATGCATACATAAACCATTACTTATATTTTTCGTCTTAATAAATAAATAAGGGGGGGATCGGTGGAAGGCTAGTATAAACCGTTGGTTTACGACCACTACGACCCGGGTTCGATTCCCGCATTGGGCACTTTTTTCTGATAAAAAAAAATGTTCCAATGTCCCCCTATTCTTGGAAAAGTTCAACCCCACCAGCGAGTGCAAGTAACTAAATGGGACTCTGGCATATTTATTTGTAAGTACAAAGTCGAACTGCTTTTCACGTGTGTAGACATGTGGTATACTTACAGTAAAAGCAGTCGCCTTCTACCCACAATGATTATCATGGCCTGTACCACGTGTACTAGGGATAAGCAAAAAAAAACAATTTTTTAAAATAAATTAATTAATTTAAAAATCCTCAGCTGATGAATGAAGGCTAAAAAAGTTGAGGCTTAACTTTTTTTTTTGTATGATATTAATCCTTCCATCTAAATATGATAATAATAAAATTCTTATTCTCCAATTTACCCAGACTAATCCATTTATTAGCTTGATTGTCTTTATATAATTTTTCCTGTATATAAATATCATATTACCATTAAGGTATTATTACTGGTATTCCTGTATGTACCCTACATTTCTGCTTGGAGAATTTGTATAAGACTAAAAGGTCTTAATAAAGCTTTTTGTTGTTGTTGTTGTATATTACTGGTACTATTACTGTTATTCCTGTATGTACCCTACATTTCTGCTTGGAGAATCTGTATAAGACTAAAAGATCTTAATAAAGCTTTTTGTTGTTGTTGTATATTACTGGTACTATTACTGTTATTCCTGTATGTATCCTACATTTCTGCTTGGAGAATCTGTATAAGACTAAACGGTCTTAATAAAGCTTGTTGTTATTGTATATTACTGGTACTATTACTGTTATTCCTGTATGTATCCTACATTTCTGCTTGGAGAATCTGTATAAGACTAAAAGGTCTTAATAAAGCTTTTTGTTGTTATATATTACTGGTACTATTACTGTTTTTACTGTATGTATATCCTACATTTCTGCTTGGAGAATCTGTATAAGACTAAAAAGTCTTAATAAAGCTTTCTCTTGTTGTATATTACTGGTACTATTACTGTTATTCCTGTATGTATCCTACATTTCTGCTTGGAGAATCTGTATGAGACTAAAAGGTCTTAATAAAGCTTTTTGTTGTTATATATTACTGGTACTATTACTGTTATTCCTGTATATACCCTACATTTCTACTCGGAGAATCTGTATAAGACTAAAAGGTCTTAATAAAGCTTTCTCTTGTTGTATATTACTGGTACTATTACTGTTATTCCTGTATGTATCCTACATTTCTGCTTGGAGAATCTGTATGAGACTAAAAGGTCTTAATAAAGCTTTTTGTTGTTATATATTACTGGTACTATTACTGTTATTCCTGTATATACCCTACATTTCTACTTGGAGAAACTGTAAAAGACTGTAAAAGGTCTTAATAAAGCTTTTTGTTGTATATTACTGGTACTATTACTGTTATTTCTGTATATACCCTAAATTTCTGCTTGGAGATTCTGTATATGACTAAAAAGTCTTAATAAAACTTTTTATTGTTTATTAATCTAAATATGATAACAAAAAGAGTAGTAAAATTAACTAAAAAACTGAATAATAGCAAAAAAAAAAAGAAGAAGACTTACGTTGATGCTGACTTGTGGCATTACTTCAGGAAGAATGGTTCAAAACCAGTTATCTTTGGAGAATGCTATAAAAGCATTTCGTATCATTACAACTGATTTTTGAGATAAAAATGGTATTTCTCTAATGGTCCTTTAAGAACTGTTAGGGCAAATCCCATACAACAAAGAGCTTATCTTCTTGATACGTAGGTCATTCGATAAGAAGAATTCATTGTAGCAGCAATCAAATGGAAGGTCAGATGAATGCAGAAGATATCTTGTAAAGTTCAGTGAACTAATTAGATGAGATATTTTGTCTGATTCCCACTGTTGCATAGATTCGTTCCCTTCCAATTGAGGTTACGGCAATGTGCAAAAAAGTTTTTTTTTTCCCATTCACAGCTTCCCTCTAAAAAGAATGCCATTTTCCGCTTTAATTTCCTGTCTGAGAATCCGTTGAATTCCTTTTTGTTTCCTTTTTTCTTTATCTTTTACTATTTTGATGTAACCAATACAAGGATGTCCTTTGTCACGGATGAATACTGTAGATTCTTTTTTTTATTGGTTGATTTTAAAAAGTACTTGTTAACTTTATGTTGAATACCTTGACCTTTTATCAATGGTTTAACAAAATCTTTCAGAGTCAACGTGGAAGTATTTTAGCAATAGATTTAGCACTGAAATTATTAGCGAGTTTTAGGACCAGTCACTTGGTCCTTGCTCATGTTGCTGGTCTCTTTTAGATGCCATTCAACCTGCCTCGTCCTTTGTGTTTAACCTTACACCCTAAAACCACTGGGCCCCATGACTGCTGTTGATTGTGGTACGACTTATATATATATATGTTATATGAAAATATTATTTGAAAATCGAAATTTATTTTAAAAAATTACTCTGTTAAATCGACCGCCAGAGGTCGCGCTCTCCCTTTATATAACCCATTGTTGTTGTTTCCCGTTGGCTGGCTCAGCTCAAATCTTTTTGTAATTATGTAAATATTATTTTGTTTTCTTTATTATCAAGCCTTAAATCAGGCAATACTTTTCTCAATTTATGTTTTAAATATTTCATAAGCTAAATTAAAGCAATAATGATCAAAACTGTTTTTATTTATATTATAAAGATTTACAACGACTGCAAAACAATGTCACATACTCATGGATTCCAAGATCAATCAAATATGCTCAACAATTACAATACTTTAAAAACCTTAGAAAATTCAGTTCTCTATTTCAAATTTATTATTATAATATATATATATATATTCTACCTTGGTAATATAACAGTTATATATCATCCTGAATATAGAGGTTACCTGGCCAGCATTCATATTTCTATGAAAAATAGACACTTCGGCCAGTTAGAGTTTTTTTTTAATTTTTCTCAACGTTTCGACAAAAATATTTTGTCTTCGTCAGGAGAAGTAAATAAAATAAAACATTTAGAAAGACGTTAAAAATTGTTCTGAGGTTGCAAGGGCGTTCTCACTTGATTTTTAGAATTTAGTACAATTTAGCTGTTGTACTAAATTCGAAAAATCACGTGAAAAGGCCCTTGCAACCTCAGAACAATTTTTAGCGTCTTTCTAAATATTTTATTTTATTTACTTCTCCTGACGAAGACAAAATATTTTTGTCGAAACGTTGAGAAAAATAAAAAACTCTAACTAGCCGAAGTGTCTATTTTTCATACTTATTTATCAGACAACACAAAGAATATTTTTGAGAGAATTGCATAACCTATTATCCAATCTATTTTAGTCTGTAAAATTAACATTTCCGCTGTCTTTCAGCATTACAAGAATCTGTTTTACATCTATTTATTTATAAATATGATATCTGGTTGTGATTATTTGAATTCTTTATGAAATCCAAGTACAAATTACGCAATATGTAAATAGAAGTTTTTACTTCCCTATTTTTAAATGGAAATTTCTACATCGCAGTTTGCCATCCTCTTAAAAAATGATGAAATCATAAAAAAAAAAAAGAGTTAAGATTCCATTTCCTTTATCTATTATCTTCTTTCTCGTAACGTGAAGCCTCAAGGCTTCAAGGATGAAAAAATATTTCAAAACTAAGCATTAAAATCACAATATTTCTTTTACGTTTCTAAATTATTTTTTTTTGTATTATTTTGAAATCATCTTTTAGGATAAGAATTTTTGGAATTTGGTAAGTATCTTTCGTAATTCTCTATATTTTATATATTCGATAAAATCTTTGATGGCTAGGTATTTTAGTTTTTGCATATTTGAACATCTGCCCGGTGAGCTGAACACTGTGGGTTCGATTCCCATCCCTGGACACTTTCATTTTTCCAGTTATCATTACTTTTCACAATTCATCCTTTCATACTTCATCCCTAAGGTTAGAAATAATCGTTATTTCTCCTTAAAATTAATTTAGATTTTTCGTTCAAAAGAAATACATGCGGTATAATTTTCAAATGTCGTTTTACTACCACTATTATTTTTACTGAGAAAGACACATTAGTAAACGATCGAAGACCTAATTATACATTCAATGAAACTACCCTAGAGGTATATGACGTCACGGGGAACTACACCATGACAGACTGGATGTAACAATCCCCGCCTTTTCCTGGTTGAACGAATCCACCAATGGGAGCTACCGAACCATAAACCTGATATACGATGGACTCCATATTTGGTCGTTGAGGTACAGCCTGCACCCCGCTGACAAAGGCCTACAGCCCTAAACGCGTACGTGGTTGTTTTTTCTTGATTTAATATAATAAGTTGGCCAATAGTATGGATTAAGTCTAAATGAACGTTTAGTTTTTATATTTATTATGCAAGATGGAGCTTTGCCATATAAAATTCTCATTTAAGCTATCAAGATATGCCTATTTTTTTACATGAACACATATAAAGTTGCGGGTGGATGAAATTTATGTGTCAAAAGAGGCCCCTCTCCCTATAATATAGGATGTTATAAAATCGAAGTCTCACTTGTACTAATAAAGGCAAAAGACCAAAATGATAGTATTACAGGTTAGCTTTTTGTCTGAATTTGCTAAAACTGGATTTATGGCGCATTCTTTATCATAACTAAAGTATTTTACTAGGGTGATGAACAGTGAATCGTTCTGATGTATAATTGAAGGGAGAGGTTCCTCTCTCTTCTGGTATACAGGTTACGCAGGTTGTGGTAGGCAGATTACGCAGTCATGGGGCCAAGTGGTTTCAGGCGTCAATGGGTAACACAAAAAGACGAGGCAGTTTGGATGTCACCTAGTTGGATGCTAGCGCCGAAGAGGCGAAGATAAAGTTACATGATGGCTAAACTGGCGAGTTAAATTGTATCTACCTTTTGGGGCTGTTACACTATAATTATGTTACATATTGAAATCTAGTGTATAGTTACATATATTACTATATGTGAAAAAAAAAATACAAATGTGATATTGTACTCGGATAAGGTGCATAAAAAAAAGCATCTCCTTATCGTTAAACTGAAAGTTGCTGATAGCTTGCGCCATCTATCGGAATAAGTTTCACTACTGAGGTGCAGCTTGGACCACGCTGATGAGGGCCAACAGCCCGAAACGCGTACGTGGTTAGCTTTTCTTGATAAATCAAGAATGGGTATTTGGCCAATTCTGGAATAATTAAAAATCAACGAGAATAGTTGATATTTATTCCGATAGATGGCGCAAGCTTTCAGTTGCACGATAAGGAGATGCTTTTTTTCAAAATATATTACTGCGTATATATATATATATATTAATTCATTATTTTATTTATATATTTATAGAGGGGGATGAAACGCCAGCTGTTGGTTTTTTTAGAGTGTCTGGACTCGGCCAAAGGTACAAAATAAATCTTAATTTGTAAATGTGATTTGTCAACATTCCCCAACACCATTAGATTGTCTAAATTGTCGCTAGAAAGTTGTATTGCGGGATATAATGGAAACTTGGGCAACCCAAGTAATCTCATCCAGTAAATCGAATAAGGTTTTTAATGATGTGTCTCTCTTAGAGATTTAATAGCTTCTTGCTCAAGACAACATAATGGGTTTTCACCATGTAATGTTAACATAGTATCTCTGGTATGGATGGAATTGTACATCAAATAACTCTTAAACAACAAATTTATATGTAATTATATATTAAAAACAAATTTGCATATCCTGACAACTAACATGAACCTCTTTTAAATGGCAGAACACCATCTAGTGGAACAGAAATCAATTAAACATTGATTTAACCTGTTCCCTGATATTTGTTCAACGCATTTTCTTGATTTATCAATAAAAGCCAAATACGAACACGTTTCGAGCTGTTGGATCTTGTCAGCGTGGTGCAGGCTGTACTTTTACGACCAAAAATCTTTTGGTCCCAGAGGCTTTTTGAGTAATCAAGAAATGGGTATTTAAGGCCACAAACCTGCGTAAATACGTTAAACATGTTAAAATATGCTCTGCCATCTAAAAAACGCTTATGTTATTGTTCAGGATATGCCTAATTTATTTTTAATATCAATACTTGACCTTTTTATATATTTTAAATATAGGTATTATATTTAATCAAGATTAAATTAACATCATTTAGTATCATAAAGTTAGAAGCTGCCTGGCCGGCATTCATATACTAAATTCGAAAAATCACGTGAGAACGCCCTTGCAAACCTCAGAACAATTTTTAACGCCTTGCCAAATGCTTTATTTTTATTTACTTCTTCTGACGATGACAAAAGATTTTTGTAACTCCAACTGTGGCCGAAGTGTCTATTTTTTATATAAATAATCATTTAGTATATCACGTCCACCCCATTGCTCAGTTTCAGCTGTAACTTTGCCTGTTGAAGAGCGAGAATTCGAAAGCTCGCGGTTTTTGTAAAAAAGAAACACATTGTGCAAGTTTTTATATATTTTTATTAAAGTATATCGCAATTCTGAATATATAGGTACCAAAAGTGGCATCTCTTCTATTATGTTAAAATATGTATAGCTCTATATTTTCATATTTCCCATAACTATTTTTACATTCGAATTTCTCTCCCCTTCTTTTTTCTACTAATTTTCTATATATCTCTCTCTAAGAAGAATCTTTATATATGACTGTCCAATTCTTTTCTGTATCTCTTTGGAGAATCTGTATATAAGCCTTTATATATAGGTCTTAGAAGTATTTATTGATTGATAAAAAAAATACTAAGAATTTACATGTAGAGCGCTCCCATAGGTGAAATCATTGATAAAGATTATTAGGAAAGACGAAGAATATAGAAAGGGGATTACCATAGGATTAAGAACAATAACAAGAATAATGTGGTCAGAATGGATATCATACTCGCGGTCTATTACGAAGAAGAAACGGAGCACCTCCTCGGGCTACTCACGCCTGAAGACAAGATTCTTCTCGACATATTCTTCGACATTATCATCAAACATGTTCCGAACATGAACTCCCCAAATGGCAGGAATCTGTCTAGATTCAAGGCGGCTTTAAGCTCCTGATTCGGACGGGTCCTCGGAGAGGGCTACGTCGATTGTATATATCTCTCTTCATTCCTACCATTATTATTACCTTATAACTCCCTTTGAGTGTAAGGATTGACGAGATGTCAATAAAGTTGTTTAATTGTCAATTGTCATAGGATTAAGGAACCATTTGTATGAGATTTAAGTGAGTATAGTTGCTCTTTCTTAAGCCATTTCATCATGATGGGGGGGGGGGGGGGGGGGGGGGGTTATTGCGATATACCGCGGAAAAAGAGAATCTTGTGTGGCAACCATTTCTTCCTTTGATTCCTTCTATGTTAAACCTCTTGACCCTTTTCTCCGATTTCTCGGAATCCTAATTGATCATTGATTGATTGATTGGTTATCAAGACTGACGAATGAGATAATGGCAGAGATCAACAAGATGAATCTATGACCATCCGTCAATCTGTACAGTATAATACAGTAGATGAATAAAGTGACGTGTGCATTCTTTCTACTATCCAAGATTGCAATGGAAAGGGTAATAACTACTCTTTACTGATTTTGATATATATTCCTATATATTTGCTGCTACCCCGAAACTACTCCTCCAAATGCTTCGAAACATCAAGCATGGATCTACCTCCACAACAATCTTAACCGGCCATGGTTACATTCAGGCAGACCTTGCAACGGTATCGAAAGAAGACCCAATTTGCCCCCACTGCCAAGATGAAGACCAAACCGTAGACCACCTCCTCTTCACTTGCCCAACCTTCCAATACCAAAGATTCCAGACAGCCACTCTCCTAGGTATCACCAACATATGTCCAGCATCCCTAGAAAATCTCCCAAGAAAGAAATCTGCCTGGCGACACCTCATTAATTGGACTTCCACTGGCATTGTATATAAATCCAAGAAGACTTAGGTCAGAAGGACATCCCGGGTAGTTGGCGACTTCTGTACGCTCCAGGAACCTGGGTTACTTAAATAAATAATAATATTCCTATATAAAATTAGAAATATATATTTTTCAAAAAGGCATGTGCCATCTAAAAACTAATGTGCTCGTGGTCAGGATATGCCTTTTTATTATTATTGTTATTGGGGGTCGGTGGAAGGATGGTCTAAACCGTTGTTTTTCGGCCACTACGACCCGGGTTTGATTCCTGTATTGGGCACTTTTTTTCTGATAAAAAAAAAATTCTCCAATGGCCCCCGATTCTTGCAAAAGTCCAACCTCACAAGCGAGTGCAAGTAACCAAACGGAGCTCTGGCACATTTGTAAGTGCAAAGTCAAACTGCTTTTCATATGTGTAGACATGTGGTGCACTTACAGTAAAAGCAGTCGCCTACTTCTACCCACCATAATTATCATGGCCTGTACCACGTGTACTAGAGATAAGCAACAAATATATATATATTATTATTATTATATATGAAGACATATCCTGACCGATCACATGCTTATTTTGGATGGCAAAGCGTCATCTAGTGAAACAAAAATAAACTAAACGTTGATTTAGGTTTGTTCCATGATATTTAGCTACCCAAATATTTTGATAAATCAAGAAAAGCCAACCACATACACGTTTCGAGCTATTGGCCCTCGCCAGCACGGTACAAGCTGTACCTCTCTAAATATTTGGTCCTAGAGGTTTCATGAGAAATCAAGAAATGGAAAGATACAGCCAAATTTGTGTAAATACGCTGAAAATGGGAAAAAAAGTAAGAAAAAAATAGAAAAAAGTCAGTTTTATATTAAAAATAAAAAAAGAAATATATTCTGACCGCTTACATGAGTATTTTATTACTTTTCACACACATATATACATATTTATTTGAAAAGATATA